AACCAGTCTGTGATTCTGTGATTTTCTAACTGCCGACATTACATTTTCCTGTCCGTGTTTAAAACATTGCATAGCACGGTCGCTTGTTTCCACCCCGGAGATGCACATAAGGTTCCGACCATCCTGCATATCCCTGTGTAAAATACCAGATAACGCTGGAGCAGCGTGAAGCGGTAGCTGAAGGACAACTGACTTTCTGGTCATTGTTTTGAAATGAAACTATAAACTCCCAGATGCAGCCGTGGTTCAGAAGTGTCATTTGCCAGAACTGTAGTTTTTCATTAAAAACGCATCGTTGCGTTACTGACAGGGAAACTCCTGTTTTATCAGCTGTCGGTATGAACGTCATTCCACGTCTGTTTGTCACGGATTGTATCCGGTGGACTTTGCCCAGTGGTAATTGTGTGTGATACCTGAAACACAGCTCCGAAGTCTCCATTGTTGTTAGTTCCTGAGAAGCTGAACGTTCCTGGTTTCTCAACTGAAGAAAAGAAAAGGTTGGGATTCTTTTATTTTCGGGGGAGGTGGAGGGAGGGGGAAGGTTACCAGTTGGTGAACATTCTTTCTGAAAAACACCCAAGAGTCCAAAATGGAGCGTTTAAGGGGGAACGTTGGTGGAGTTTGGCATTTGTTCAGTGTCGGCTGTTTACTGTCGAAGTGTTGCCGCTCTGTTTAACTCTCGTCGCGCTGAACTCACCCTGGTTTCACATTTTGCCTGTAGATACTATGGATAACCTTCGCCTGAGTGTCATAGCTGTGCTCCTTCACTGTAATCTTCCTGGAGCAGTGGGAACCAAGGCACAGCGGATTCTTCTTGAGACACGTCGCCACTCTGACTGCCAGTGGGATGGGGAGTCCGTCCTGAACTGTTCCCTTACCGGCATGTCCACTCTTCCAGAAGACGGACCACAAACAGCGATAGTGGCCGATTTTAGTCACAATAACATTAAAACTTTCCTGTGCGCTGATGGAAGAAACGAAGAATGGGCGCTGAAACACCTGAACCTCAGTAACAACCTCCTTTCCGAAATCTCCTTAACGACTTGTAGGAACTTTCCTGTTTTGGAAACTCTAAACCTCAACGGTAACGCCATCCACACCCTCACGCTGGGGACACCAGCGCCCGCGCGCGGGTCTGAAGCGTACGGAGGAGTCGATCGCCTCCTGCCCGCTCTGAAAGTATTGTCAGTTGAAAGAAACAACCTCAGCAGAGTTCCAAGAGGTAAGCAGAGTCTCCAAGGTCTGGCTCCCGAGGGTAGGTTGGTTTTGGATGTGATTCGGTACGTCGCGCTGAGTTCAGATTGCGACTGTCTCCTTCCATTACGGTGAGGGAACGTTCCACCTTAGTCTCAGTCAAATATAACCAAATTTATCTGCCGAGAGCCCAAGCGGTGTTTTTTCCTTGTTGTAGAAAAAGGGAAACAAGGATCTTGGGAAAAACACCAGCCTCCGCAACCCAGTTGTGAACCTTAACATCAAGAAAATTAAGGATAATTGACTTCTTACACCCCCAGAAGAAAGTACTTCTGTAAATAAGGCTTGCTGCTATTTCACGACGACAAGAAAATACATTGTTCAGTCAAACCAAGTTTGCTCTTTGCCATCTGACACCCAGCCAGCGTGACACCAGAGAATGCTGTGAGGTGTCGACAGGCTTTGAGAAAGCATCTGTTCGTCCCCGCGCTGTGCTGGGCACCCGAGCCTCCGTGGCAGCCTCTGTCCTCTGTGAGCCTCCATGGCAGCCTCCTCTGTCCCATGACCAGAGGCTTCACTTTGCCCACGTGGTGCTTCAATGAATTATTTTGCACCTACACAGGGTCCTCAAAGTTCTGGTCGTCTGCTTTTTTGATCTCTGGCAGGAAGGAAACCATTTTGCTTAATTATTTCCTAGTATCTATAAGGTACAGACAGAAAAGGTACCGTAGAGATGTGTGTAATTTATTATAAATATGGATTATTATGAAATTATAAAATGCAGTGAGGCAGATTGGATTTGCTTCACTAGATAAACACAGCTGCACATTACAGGCTGCCTCAGTGGGTCAGACAGGTCAACCCTTTTCTGAAAGAGGCTCAGTTTTCAGTTCATAGAATCACAGAACGGTTTGGGCTGGAAGGGACCTTAAAGACCATCTAGTTCCACCCCCCCTGCCATGGGCAGGGACACCTTCCACTAGACCAGGTTGCTCCAAGCCTCATCCAGCCTGGCCTTGAACACTTCCAGGGATGGGGCATCCACAGCTTCTCTGGGCAACCTGTTCCAGTGCCTCCCCACCCTCTCTGGGAAGAACTTCTTCCTGATGTCCAATTTAAATTGGATCTTGAAAAGTCAAATTGCTGCGCATCGTACCACCATAGTCCAAGCTATACTTAAATCCCATATTCATTGAAATACACGTTCAGAACTTTATTTTCCTCCTCCAAAATACTTTGCTAACTTTCCAGGCTTTACGCCCTGTCAAGAACACCCAAACAGGTTCTACAGCAGAGGGGCTTTGGCCCCTCTGGTCCGGGGTGTCGCTGCTGCCGTACCCGTGAGTACTGCTGGCACAAACCTAGCTGCAGGGAAGCATCCAGCTGCAATTCTTCATGCAGGTGCAAGGAAGGATTTATACTGCCGGAGCTCCTGAATGCCTTTCCTATCGGCTACCTCTGCCTTTGCAGCAGGAGTGAATCATTCCCTCTGCTTTGCACAATGAACCCAAAGATAATTACTCAGCCCACAGGACAGCAAAGTGGAGTCAGAGGTTCCCAGTAAACCAGATGACACCAAGGGCAACATTTTTGGGGAGAACTAGCAGGTTCTCAACAATGTTGTATGGTCAAAATCACTTCAGGGTGACATCCAGGTGTTACGAACCGGTGATGCTGCGTGTTCCCACCGAACCTGGAGGCTGGAGCTTTGGGGGCTGCCTGCACAACACCTAAGAAAAATGAGGCATCCAAAGGGTACCAGTGATACCAGTGGATGCCCAAGGTATCCAGTGAGCATTCCAAAGGGCTACTTACGCCAGACAGATGCTGTCACAACGAGGATATGCTGAAGAATATACCGTCATGCCTGATAATTCACAGGCAGACAGGCACAAGCACGTTCCTGTTTTCGGGCAGGTTTGCATCCTACGAATATGGTTCAAATAATTCCACGTGGGAAAAACCCTCGTGAAGGTGCAGACAGCAGTGAACAGCAGACACCGTATCACCGTGGGCATCGCCCCCTTTTATTTGCAATTACCTTATTTAGATTTTATAAGCTGAGTAGACTCCACCCTTTCCACCCTCCTCCAGCTCTCCGGAGAGGCGCGCTCAAAGTGCAGAGGTCGCAGCTGGAATAATTCCGATAGCACAACGGAACGTTGCTGCTTCTGTGGGGAGGAGAAGTTCTAAAACACGCCTTGACTGCGAC